CAGCGCAGCAGCCCACAGTCCAGACAGCCGGCCCCGCGTTTCCTTGGTGCTCAGTGCCGCCTGCTTGCCCTCGGGAGTCCCGCCCACGAGCCGGGACTCCTGGCTGAGCTGGCCGCTGGGCCCAGCAGCTCGCTCCTGGATGTGGCAGCCCCCAAGGCCCCACCCCAGCCCTGGGGACACAGCAGCCCGTGTGGCGCCAGCCTCCTCTGCTGCTCCCTCCCCACGCCTCTGGGGAGCCCGTCCGGACCCCGTCCCCTCCCTGGGCCACGGGGTCAGAGCCCGAGAAGCACAGGCCCTGCGCAGGCCAGCGCCTCGGGGACCGTCACTCCCGGCAGCTCCTGCTCCGCGGCCACCGCAGCGGGGAGGGGTCCAGAGACCCCACAGCCAGGCCGGTGCCCTCACAGGCCCGTCTGCTTGTCCAACCCCAGGAAACCCATGGGGAGACGCAACTGCCCCTCCTGCTCTGCTCTTCCTCAGCCCTGGGCAGCCCCGTCCTGCCCGGCCCAGGCCTGCGGGGCAGGAAGCCGGCCTGGAACACGGTGGAGGCCTGGCCGGTGGGATCTGTCTCCCCATCCGGCCCGAGGCCTGCAAGCCGTCACGGGGCGGCCGCCTGCCGTGTCCTCCGCCAGGGGTGACGCTCTGCTGGCGGCCACGTGGGGTGCTGTGTGCAGGAGATGCCCCAGCAAGGGGGCTGCAGGGCTGGCCCGGGGCAGTCGGGGGGCACTGGCCCCCAGCCCCAGCAGGGGGAGCCTCTGCCCCGGCAGCAGGCCAGCATGTGAGCCGGGCCCGGGCGTCCCTCCCTTGGGGACCCGACTCCCTGGCCGACGTGCTCCCCGGCCAACATGCTCGCCCTGTTTAAATATTTAATCCAGTTAAATATTAAACATCTCCCAGGCCCCAATCACCCCCAGATCGATTCCTGGCCCTGGCTGCGCTGGGCACGCCCCAGGCCGGCTGCAAGCGCTGGGGGACAGGGCCCGGAGGCGCTGCCGGGACCTCCCGGGCGCCTGTCCCTGCCGCGACGCAGGCAGCGTGGGGGCTCCAGCCACTCCTCAGGCCTTTTCAAGACAGCCCCGCGCCCTGCATCTGCTCTCCTCAGCCCAGGTGGGACGGCGGCCAGCGCGGCCATGGACAGGCTTGGGCTGCAGGGAGGACGCACGCTGCCCCTGCACCAAGGGGCCTCAGAGGGACCTCGCCCCCATCCGGAGGCCCCAGTGCCCCTCCCCAGCCTCCCAGCCCCCAGGGACCCGCGAGCGGCCTGGCCTGCCGTGGACAGTGGCGGCCGCTCCCCCTGGCCTGCAGACCCTGCTTGGAGCCGACGGTCCTGGAAGTGGCCACTGAGCCGGACCCCGCCCAGGGCTGCCCACCCACAGGCGCTCGTCTCAAGGACACGAGTTCCAACCTCCGGGAACTGGGCGGCTGCGGGGGGAGAGGCGCATGCCTGGCCGGCCCTGACCCGCGGTCTGCAGAGGGCCGGGCTGTCCCCGGCCAGGAGCAGCGCCCACGGTGGCCTCTCCCGCCAGCCCCCTGCCGGGCAGGGGTGGGGCCGGGCCTCTCCTGCAGGTTCTGCTGCTGGTCAAGCTGGGCCTCGACTCTGCGTCTCAGACGCCCCGTGTGGCCCTGCTGGTCCCACATCCCCGTCAGCGCTCCGGCCGGCCGGCAGCCCCCGGTCCACCGAGGGACCTGGAGCCCTTGCCGCAGGCTGCCTTCCGGGGAGGCGTCCCCCGGGCTGGGTAGGGGTAGCAGGCGGGCCGAGGCCCCAGGCCTGCACCGCTGCACCCCCTGCGACCAACCCCTCCCAGCGCAGGCCGCTCCTCCTGGGGGCACGGCAGGGCGCTGGGCCCTGCGGGTGGCGGGGAAGCCGGAATTAAGTGGAATCCACAGAACATTAAACAAAGCAGCAAGAATTTACAATAAATGATGTAAACGCGCGGGAGTGGGGCCTCTGCCAGCAGCGGCCGGCCAGGCTGGGGCTGCACTGCAGCTGGGCCTGGCTTGGACAGCGCGGGCGCCCTCAGGGGGGCCAGCAGAGCCTTGGAGCTGGAGACCGGCGTCCCCGCTGGCCCAGGAGCCCCCGTGGCCAGTCTGAGCCCTGTGCCTGGGGGTGGGGGGCAAGGCCTGGGCGAGGCCAACATGCGCTCACGCGGGTGTCCCGGGCGCAGCGGGAGGGGCCATGATGGACGTGGGGGGCGGGCCGGGCCCGCAGCGTTGACCTTGGGGCTCTCTCTGATGAAGACCCCCTGAGGCCCAGCCTCAAGGGCCTGGTGAGGGAGCCCCGCGGGGAAAGGGCCTGGGGAGAAGGGGAGGGAAGCGGATGGCCCTCCAGGCCCCCTGGTCCAGGCGGCCTGGGCCCTCCCGGCGGCTCCAGGGTCAGCCCTCGCCCTCTCCTGGGCAGTCCGTGCCGGGGCTGCTGGGCGCAGGCAGGAGGGCTGCGCCCCCCCTCAGGCGGGGTCAGCTCCCTCTGCTCAGAGGAGTCTGCCCGCGCCCCAGGAGGAGGCCCTGGGTTGGGGTGACGGCCGCGAGGCACATCCCGGGGCTGGGTCTTTCGGGCGAGGCCCCTGTGAGCCTCGCGGGGCCAGGCCGGGGTGGCCCTGCTGAGCACGTCCTGTCGGCCTCCTGGGCCAGGGGCACCCGGGAGCTGCGGCGGGCATGAGCGAGCCCCGCCTGGGGGTGGCGCAGGGGCTGGTGCCGAGCAGGGCCTGGGGTCAGCAGGGCCACCCCTGCCAGCAGTGGGCATGGCAGGACTGGGGCTGGCGGCTGGGATGGGCCAGCGGGGGAGGTGGGCAGGACCCGGTCCTGGGACGTGCGCCTGGAGATCCGGTGACGCCGCCGGGGCTCCGGGGAGACTGGGGGTGCGGGGAGGGCGGGCAGGGCGGGGGAAGGAGGCCTTGACAGGCAGGGGGCCCAGGTGGGCAGCTGCTGGGCAGCAGCCCACGGGTCGGGCACCCTCCTGCGTGTACTAGGGCTGACAGCAGGGGTGTGCCCACTGCCCGGCCCCGCCAAGTGGGTGGCTGCGGTCACACGCCGCGTCCTGCCGGCTGACCCGGTGGCCATTTGTCCCCCCCACGCAGATCCCCGCCGGGGAAGTTTGCTCTCCAGAGAGCAGGAGAGGGGAGCAGGGTCAGTCTCCCAGGCCCGGCCACAGCTGGACACAGCCCCGCTGCGGCCCGAGCCTCCTCCCCGGGGTCACGGCTGCTCCGCCCTCCGGCTGCCCCCGGGCCGGGAGCCCGCGGGTCCCCCCTGGCAGGGCCCGGGCGGGGGGTGCGCGCTGGGGTCTCCTTCCAGGTGGGAGGGCGCTTGAGGGAGCCCCGGCCCGAGTCCCGCTGAGGGGTCGACGGCCAGGCTTGCTCAGGTCAGAGCGCGGACCCGGCGCGGGGCCCAGCGAGGGCGGCCGGAGCCCCACGGCGCCGCCCGGAGGGCCTTGGGGCGCAGGGGACCCCGCGAGCCAGCGGCCTCGGCGCCCCTCCAGGCCCTCGCTGCCGCCTGGGGCCAGTTCTCCCCCCCTGGACTCGCTGCGGCCCGCGCCAGGCCGGGGAGCAGGGGGCGGGGCCGCTCGGGGCGCGCACCCCGACACCCCGCTGCTCGGCCGGCGGGGCCCGGCAGGCGGCGCTCGCGTCCCGCCCCCGGGGGCCGCCAGCACCCCGCGCCCGGCATCCCGGCCCGGGGCCCCCGGGCGGGGGGAGGCGGCCCGGCCCCGCGGCTCTCGGGCCGGCGGCCGGGGCGGGCCGGAGAGTGAGCCCCGGCCCGGGCGCGCCCCCCTCCCGCCACCCGAAGTCTACGGGGCGGCGCGCCGGGGCCCCTCGTCTTCCCGCTCGGGATGCCGCGGGGCTGCGGGGGGCGGCCTCGGGGACCCCCGTGGGGGCGGGACCCCGGGGCCCGGGCACCCCCGACCGGCGCGCGGCGCGGGGCGCGGCCTCCCCAGGGGGCGCCCGTCCCCGCCGGAAGCGGCCGGGCCCGGGGAGCGCGGGGCCCCGGCACCCCCCGCCGCCCCCCGCCGCCCCCGCGCGCCCGGCCGCGCCCAGACACTCGCGGAGGGGGGGCCGCGCGCCCCGCCCCGGCGCGTCCCCCACGCGCGCCGGCGCCGCCCCCCGCCGCCCCCCGCCGCCCGCCGCCGCCCCCGGGTCCGCGCCGCGCGCCGGTGGGGGTGGGGGCCTCGGCGGGGGGAGGGCGCCGCGCCGCGCCCCGCCCCCAGCGCCCCGCCCGCGCCCCCAGGCGCGCCCCGCACGGGGGGGGGGGGAGCGGGCCCGGCGCCGGCCGGCCTGGGGGCGGGGCGGGGCGCCCGGCGGCGGGGGGGCGCGGGGGGCGGGGCCGCCCGGCCCCCAGCCGCGTCCCCGCGGGGCCCCCCCGCCCGCCGCCCGCCGCGGGGACCCCGCCCCCGGCTCACTCCGAAGTTCCCTGCGCGGCGCGCGGACACGCTCCGGCTGCTCGGCCCCCCCGGCCCGCGCCCCCCGCGCCCCCCGCGCCCCCGCGCCCCCGCGCCCCCGCGCCCCCGCGCCCCCGCGCCCCCCGCGCCCCCGCGCCCCCGCGCCCGCGATCGCCTCCGCCTCCGGACGAGCCGCAGCCGCAGCCGTAGCCGGGAGGGCCGGGGGCGCGGGGGGCGCGGGGGGCGCGGGGGCGCGGGCCGGGGGCGCCCGCCGGGGCCGCGGGGACCCGCCGCCCGGGATGCCCGCGGGGCCGCCGCCGGCCGCCGCAGCGAGGTGAGGCCGCGAGGACGCGCCCCGCGCCGGGACCCCTCAACTTGAGCGGGGCCGGGCCCCCCGCCCCCCGCGCCGGCTGCCGCTGGGGGAGGGGCCGCCCTGCCCGCGCCGGAGGGAGGGGGGCGCGCGGGGGGCGCGGGCGGGGCGCGGGGGGCGCGGGGCGCGCGGGGGGCGCGGGCGGGGCGGGGCGGGGCGGGGCGGGGGGCGCGCGTGGCTCCCGAGCGAGACAAAGGCGGCCCCGGCCCCGGCCCGGCCCGGCCCCGCCCGTCACCGCCCGCCCCGCAGGTGCCGCCCGCCGCCGCCATGACCGAGGTTGCGCCGGCCGCCGCCGAGGTCCGCGTGTCCCTGGGCGCGGCGCCCCCCGGCCCGGCGGGCGTGGGCGCGCCGGGGGCAGAGGCGCGGCGGGGCGCGGGCCCGGGACCCCGCCCCCGAGAGCCCGGCGAGCGCGCGCGGCGCGGACGAGGCGCGGCCGGCCCCGTACCCCGCGCTGGCGGCCACCGTCTTCTTCTGCCTCGGGCAGACCACGCGGCCGCGCAGCTGGTGCCTGCGCCTCGTGTGCCACCCGTATCCTTCCGGCGCGGGCGGGGGGCCGGGCGAGGACCCGCGCGCCCCAGGCGCGGGGTGGGGCGCGGGGCCGCGCCCCCAGGAAGGTCCTCCGGCGACTCGGGAGCAGCGGCCGTCCCGGGCCCGGGGGTCCCGGTCCTGCGGGGCGGGGGCGGGGGCCGGCGGCCGCAGGCCTTGACAGGGAGGCCCGGGCCCCGTGCGCCCCTGGGGTCGCGCTCGGTTCTCCCGGGGCCTGTGGAGGCTCCGGCGCGGCCGGGAGGGCCGAGGAACTCAGGCGGGAGCGAAGTTTCCCACGAAGTCCCGCCTCGGCGCCCGCGGGGAGCCCCTGGGGAGCCCCTGGGCCTGCGAGCGAGATCCCGCGGGGCGCAGAGACCCCGCAGGCTGAGCCGGGCCGGGGTGACTCGAGTCTCGCACTGCTGCGGTGGGGGCCGGAGGCCGGTGGCCCCCAGGGCGGCCCCGCTCCCCCCTGGCCCGCCCGCCCCCTCTCTGGGAGGAAGGGCGGCCCCCTGTGCCCCCGGAGGGTGGGCTCGCCTGGCCGCTGCTACCCCGAGGGTGACCGGTGGGGCCGGCCTGCTGCCCGGCGGGGCCCCCTCCCCTGGCTCTCCCCACCGCAGAGCTGGCTGCCGGGGGTCGGGTCAGGCGGCTCCGTCCAGCCTCTGGACCGGCAGAGACAGCGTGTTCTGGACAGGCCCGGGGGCAGAGGCAGAGGCCCTGTCACCCGCCTGGGGAGCGGGGTGGACGGCGAGCAGGCCAGTGTGCCCCGCTGCGAGCCGAGGGCAGGCGCGGCCGGGAAGCGGGAGCGGTTCTCAGACAGCCCGGTGGGGTCGTGCCCCAAGCAGGGTGGCGGCCGGCGGGCGCTGGGCCACGCGGCGCGGGTGGGCATCCAGCTGCCCAGCGGGGGCCAGGCCTGGGGGTGGCCCCCGTGGGGTGGGGTGGCCGGTGGCGGGGCCTGGGCAGCGTCTGGGACTCAGTCAGCCGCGCCTGCGCTTTCTCTCCCCGACAGCCACAGGGGGCCGGGTTGGGGCGCCAGCCTGAGCAGGGGGGTGTGTGTCGGGGCGCAGGGGAGGAGACCGCATGGCCCGAGCCCCCACGGGGTCTGCAGTGGCGGAAGTGCGGCGCCCCCGGCCCCTTGCTGGGGACTCCTGCGGGAGAGTGGGGGTGTGGAGCACCCCCGCTCTTCCTGGGAGTGGAGGTCGGTGGGTTCTGGCTTCACGGAAACGCCTCTGACCTTGGGCCGCGTGGATGGCCGCTGGCCTCTGGCAGGGAGGTCCTGGGACGGGGTCCCCTCCTGTGGGTGGGTGGGCGAGCTCCGCGGGGGCGGCCCGTGGGGCTCAGAAGTTTTCAGATCTCGGAGTCCGAGAGTCGGGAGGGAAGCCTCCGGGCCACGCGGTGGGCGGGCAGTGGCCCCGCAGGGGTCCCCAACCTTGGCGGCTCCTTCTGGGCAGGTGCCCCCCGGAACCCCCTCGTCGCTCAGGGTGTGGGGGGCTGGTTTGCCGGGAGCAGCCCCTGTCCCTGGAGGTCAGCAGACCTGGCAGGCGTCCTGGCCCCCGGCGTCGGGGCGCAGTTGAGGGGGATCCCCAGCCCCCTGCCCAGCGGCCGGGGCCCGGGGCCGGCCTCGCCCTCGCTGGCTTGCTCTGCTCTGGAGCCGGGCGCTGGGCCGGCTCCCACACGGCCTATTTATAGCGGGCGGTGGGCGGCTGCGCCGTGCCGAGGCGGCGCTGCTCTGCCCGGGCTCCCGGGGCTCCGACTCGGTGCTGGGGGAGCGGCTGTGTCCCAGCACCCGCCGGGCGGCCCGAGGCGGGCGGCGGCAGGTCGCGGGCAGACGGGAGGCCGCTGTGGCTGGGCAGGCCCGTGAGGCGGGCTGGGGCGCGAGAGCCCCGGGGTGGCCCCGGCTGGGCACCAGCGGGCTCGGAGAAAGCAGAGGATGCCCCAAGATTATGCGCCGCCCAGGACAGCGCTGGGCCCCCGGGGGCACCCCTGGGCCTGCCACCCCACTGCAGCGCGGGGCTGCTGGCCGGCGCCTCCCGTCTATCTGGAAGAGGCAGCCCTGGCCTCCCGGGCCTGCCCGTCACCACATGCCCCCTGGGCCCTGCAGCTCCTCAGCCCCTGGATCAGGCACCCCCAGGCTGACCCCTGCGTCCCCAGCCCAGCGCGCTGGACTGTGCTGGAGGGCACCTCGGAGGGGCCCTCCTAAGCCTCACTGCCCGGCCGGCTCCTGGCCCTGTGCTCAGGGGGCCCGTGGGGACGCATCGTCCCTGGGACTGTCCCCACCCAGAGGACCGCGGGGCTCCTGTGGGGAGCCGGCGTGGAGGACACCCGCCCGGCTGTTCTGGCTGCCCGCGGGTGAGGCCCTGGGCATGCAGGGCTGGGCCGGCCGGGCCGGCCGGGCCGGGCTCTCCTCAGGGCGGGGTGTGAGCACAGCCGGGTGTGAGCTGGGGACGGGGGCCGCGTGGGGGGCGTCGTGGAGCAATGGAGCCGGCCAGTCGCTGGCCGCTACCCTGGTACCGTGGCCTTGGGGTTGAAGCCCGGGCTTGAGGCCCTGCTGGGCCGGGTAGGTGGGTGGACCTGCGTGTCGTCCTTTGGAGGAAGGACCACGGCCAGGGCTGGCCGGACGCCCTGTCCCTGATGGTTTCCTCTGACTGGCCCTGCTCCCATCCCTCATCCTCCGGAGCGCCCTCTGGGCACCCCCAGCCCCGGGGGTGGGGGGCAGTGGCACCCATCGAGCCTCCCGGTGGTCTGGCCTGTCAGGGAGCTGCTGCTGACTCTGCGTCCCTAGACGCAGCCCCCACATCTGCCACCCGGCTGCTCCCACAGGTCCTGCACGCAGCATGGGGACGTCCGGAGCCCCCCGCCTCCGCCCCAGGCTGCGGCTGCCACGGCACAAGGCTCACCCCTTGTGGGTGAGGTTCTGGGTGTGGAGCAATGTGGGGCGCGTCCTGCCAGGCAGCGCTCCCCGCGGCAGGCGGCCCTGGGGCCAGGCCTCCCGGCACCGCGTGAGGGTCGCAGCGCGTCTGGCTCCACGGGGCGGCGGCGCTGGCCCAGCCTCGCCCCGTGGCCTGCGCTGACTCTCCAGTGGCCTCTCGGGCGGCCCGGACGGGGCTGGGGGCGAGCGGGGCGGGAGGCGAGCTCAGGGCTCCAGCCGGTGGGCGCCGTCCCCGGAGCAGGATGCCTGCGGCGGGCACAGGTGGCGGGCGGGCCTCGGGTGGGCGTGGCTGGGCACCCGGGCAGACAGGCCTGCTGGGGGCGGGCAGGGGTGAGGGCCGGCGGCGGGCGGTGCGGGTCAGCAGGGTGGAGCCTGGCTGGCGAGCACCCGCTCCTCCGTGGCCTGCCCTGATCTGAGCGCCCCGACCGGGGCCCAGCCGCGTCCCGGGCAGCGCCCCTCCGGCCCAGTCACGACTCCGGCGCTCTGGTCATTCGGGGAGCAGGGCCAGCGGGGGGGCGCCCCGGAACTCCGGGCTCCGGAAACTTAGGCATGGCCCGGGGAGAAGCAGAACCCGAGCCCTGGGGGGCTGACAGGTGCCCCCCACCGGCACCTGTCCCGTCTGCCCGGCCGGTCTCGCTGGACGCCCCGAGGTCTTGTGCCCACCGCGCGGGGGTGTGGGGAGCTGCTGCTTCCTTGGGGTGGAGCTGGCGGGGGCGGGGGCGGGGGCGGACCCTGCTGCTGTCCCCTCCGGGCTGGCAGGGGCTGGCCCCGGGTCGTCAGATGGGGGGACGCTTCTGGCTCTGGCCCGACACCCCTCGCGCGCCCGGGCAGCAGACCCCCAGGGGCGGCTCCCCTCGGGATGCTGGCCGCAGGGGCCCTGGCCGCCCCACGCTCTCCCTTCCCGCCCGGTCTTTCTCCACCCCGGCCCACACCCGGCGGAGCTTGGGGTCTGCCTGGGAGGCCCCCAGGCCAGCTGCCCCGTCTCCCAGGCCGGCCTGACCCAGCGGCGGGGACGAGGGACTCCAGGTCGCCTGGGCTGGCGCCCGCGTCCCTGCCCCCGCGATGGCCCGTGCCTGGTCCTCCACTCCGCCGGCGGCGAGCAGGGCCTGCTGCCCGAGGCCGCGTCCTGGGGACTTCCCGGTCCCTCTGGGCCTTGGGCGGGCGGAGGGCGGCTGTCGCGCGGGGACGCCTGTGGGCACGCGGGCGGGGGCGGGGCCGGGCGCGGGGTCTGCCTCGCCTCTGGGCTCCCACGGGGTTGCGCTCCTCCGTGGTGTCCGGAGACCCCCGGCCCTCAGGGCCCCTTCCTGGTGGCCTTGCGTCGCGGCGGCGGGGGCGGGGGTAGGCGAGGGGGCCGGGCCGGGGCTGGACCGTGGGGGCGGCAGAACGTGCCTGTCTGAGGAGCTTTCTGGACGCCGTCGCTCACTGGGAACCCGGCTGGGCGGGGCTGGGCCGGCCGGGCCGGCTCCTTGACCCTCATTTTTGTTGATGCTCCAGAGCCTCGGGCAAGCCCGTGGGTGGTGGCCGCGAGCGCTGCCCTGGCCGCCCTCCCTGCGCGAGCCTGGCCGGTGCGCGGTGGGCTCCGAGGGTGGCGTTCGGCCCTGGGGGCTCAGGGGCTGGGTGGGGCCCAGGGCACCCTGCGTTCTGCCGGTGCCCGCCCCTGCTCACCCTGCCTGGCCCTGGCTGGCCTGTGGCGAGCTGGCCATGGGCTGGGGCAGCCAGTGGGGCCCCGTGGATGGGTCACTCCTGCTGGGACCTCCGTCGGGCGTCCAGCCATTGGCACCGGGGTCTCCTGGGCTCTGAGTTCCTGTGCCAGTGACTGGCCCGGCGGCGGGGCGGGGGGGCAGCAGGCTGGACTCCACATTCTGCCCCACAGGTCTGAGGCCGTCAGGGCTGAGGTTCTGGAATCTTCTGCGCCTGCAGGAGACGCCATGTGCCTTGTGTGGGCCCCAGGCCTGCGCCCTGCGGGGGCCTCTGTGCCCACAGTCAGCTCTGCGTGGGGTGCCCTGGGCCGGGGGCTCCTGGCCGCCCCCGCCCCACTGGCCTCTGCAGGGCGAGCGCGCGGCGCGTGGTGGGGGGC